AATAGCGCTGTTACCACTGGTTTAAAGTAGAAGCGGCAACACCGCATAAACAAAAATATTTTTAAAGTGTAGATTATGGTAGTTTATCCCGGTTGCCAAATTTTCAAAATGATCCGCTTTTTGTTCTCCATAAACGTCTAATACGCCATCCACCGTGGGACACCCGTATGTAAAGTATACATTTTTATTTTTCCTAACAAATATTCATTACTTTTCGAATTTTATGATAATCTACACCATACTAATAGGTTGGCTGTTTACTTATGCGTTTCAAATCAATAGAAGAATATTCCTTCGAAATTTTAGCCTTGTAGGAGCAGCTCATAAATTATTATCCCTATAACATCTTTGTTATCTTCTGACACATACTTGCAACCCTTGAAATATTTAGGTTGTCAATTTTTTTTTACGCCTGAACACATGTAAATTAAAACATATATCCTGTTCACAATCCGATGTCCACAGGTAGGTACAGGTAAAATCACCTTTCAATGCTATTTGATAGGGAAAGGTGATAAATTAACCTGCACCAGAGGACATCGGATTGTGAACAGGATATAAAATTTGTAGCTTTGTGGGAGAAGGTTTTGAAAAAAAAAAAAAACATTTTCAAAAACTTGAGCGATGTAACGCAACTACGAGATGCCTGCCAGATAGTGGAGTAAAATCACAATGAAATTATGACTTTGAGTGATTCCGAGGTATAACCAGATGAAACCTATATCATCTTGTAGAGGACACTCTGGGGCATAGGAAATGGGAATGTACAACTTTTTTTAGTAGGACTGAACTTTGAAATCGGCCCTTAAACGTGACTGAGCTCGAATTTGAAAAACTACGTTTTTCTAAACATTACCCGCTGTATTAATTTAAGCATACAATCTAAAATTCTGATTTTTTGCACACTTATACTTGAATCATGAGCGATTCTAATGACAGTTCAGAAATTTCGAAAAGGTTTAAGGTTTTTTTGTTAAAAAGTTAGGAATACAGAATTAGCAAAATCGTGCATCTAAAACTTCACCCTGCGTCGAGCTATGTGAATTATTGAAAATTTCTATACATATATATCGAATCAAATGTAGTAAAAACATTGACGAAATCATCTGCGTTAGTGCGTTAGCGTTACATCTAGAAATAAAATAAAAAAATCTATAAACATAAAGTAATTGATTGAATCCTTTTTTATGAAGTTAGTTTAAATATTTTCTGCTTCGTTATCCTCATATAAATCAGGAATATTATTTTGACAACTTTTGCAGAAACACTCACTGCAGCACGTTAAACCCTCTTTCAAGCAAACATATTTATTATTTTGACATAATAATTTATCTTCGCAGAAGGCATTCATTAGTTGCCTTATATCGATTGGTATGGGATCAGCAGTCATCAAAACAGGCTCAAAAATTCCATTATTCCTAGTCCAACCAAAGTTAACAGGGTCAAGTATAGGCATAATAGGTAGGACTGGATATCCATATACGCAGTTGATATATGCACCTGAAATTTTGTTTATCGCATAAATACAGCTCCTTTTGTTATATATACACCTAGCTCAGTACATGCTGGTAAAATGCATCATCTGTGGGTAGAAGTTCAGAAACGGATTTATTGGAAGTTGTGGTCAAATGATATCTCAATTCATCGAGGGTTTTTAGGGCGTCGTTCTTATTTCTGAATAGGGCCTATGCAAATTTGGTGGCAATATAAGGTTCCAAGATTTTTAGAAAATACATTTTTTGCCTTTGCATTTGTGGTATCGCATCCTGTTGACACATGCAACACTGGTAAACATTTATAAACTTCATTTTCCAGTTTCTGCACTATTTATTGGAATGATCTGTTTTTTATTCCCTTGTCCTAATTCCATCAAAAGGTAGGTTTCTTTCAAAGAACTTACTTCAATAAATTCAGAATAGTGGTAAATAAGTAATACAGCATTTGCATCTGCAGACTTCACCAACACTTTTTTTGGTGAAGTATCTGATATACATATAAGACGTGGATTATAAGTCGTTCATCAGTCTCATCATGATTCGATTTCAAATCTTTCAATTCGGTTACACGGTTACACCATCCTTGTTGACAGGAAAGCATAACTCTGGGTTTTCAAAACCACCAGCGATGATCAGAGTTTCTTCTATTTGTCAGCTAAATGTTCCAAAATATAACCAGTTACAAATTTCAATAGGGATTCTTCATTTTTTGACAATTTTAAAAAATTCCGAAACTTCATCACTTTTCTCTTTCCAGAAACTTCATACACATACATATCTGCGAAGTTACTTCTTCTGTGTCTTTCCAAAGACTTGACCGATAAAAACCACCGTTATTCTTAGTGCTTCATACCTTCGACCAAGTGAAAGAATTTGCTTCAGAAAAATACATGCGAGTTCATTAAAAGTTAAGTTGAAAATGCTTTATCAATTAGTTCTTGAATGAGTACCATGCTATTATCTATTATAAGTGAATTGAAGGGATTGTGACCCAAAAATGAAGTTTTAGTGCGAAAAAATCTAAGAACAAATATTTGAACCGCATCTTGCTACGATGAACTGTTTACGAGTATAAGGGTGGTTTAACGTGACAAACACCTAGGCTGTGACGTCACACTGGCTTCGGAGGCACAGTTAAAATATGTGTAAAATTTTCCAAGACAAAAGTCAACGATCTCACTTAAAGCAAATTGCAACCACTTTAAGTATAGAGCACGGTTCAACCACTGAACAAACAGAAGGATATGATTTCGACGGTTAGCCGGTGTGACGTCACAAGTTCCCGCAAAATTTATTTTCATGAAGAATTTTCTCGGATAGTATCTTGAATGAAAGACTGCGGTTTCCACGGGAGATCTTAGATTTTTTTTCTTGATTTAAGTAGCTTAAGTTGCTTTTTTTAGTCACACCCTTGTTTAACATCAGTTCGAAGAAAAGCGACTGTTGAATATGGTTCATACGAACGCACAAAACTGGAAAAGTCAGAAAATGCACCTCTTGGTGAATGCACAAATAATGCCGTCGCGACGCGGTTCACGATGGGCTGAGCGCACTCCAGGGCTCTTGGATAAAAATGTATATTTCTATAACCGTTAAAGTTAGCACCTTAATTTTTTTTCTAAAAACTTCGTCAATGTTTTTACTACATTTGATTTGATATATATGTATAGAAATTTCCAATAATACACATTGCTCCCGCAGGGTGAAGTTTAAGATGCATGATTTTGATAATTCTATATTCCTAACTTTTTAACAAAAAAACCTTGAGCCTTTTCGAAATTTCTGAACTGTCATTAGAAGCGCTCATATTTCAAGTATAAGTGTGCAAAAAATCAGAATTTTAGATTGTATGCTTAAATTAATACAGCGGGTAATGTTTAGAAAAACATAGTTTTTCAAATTCGAGCTCAGTCACGTTTAAGGGCCGATTTCAAAGTTCAGTCCTATTAAAAAATGTTGTACATTCCCATTTCCTATGCCCCAAAGTGTCCTCTACAAGATGATAAAGGTTTCATCTGGTTATACCTCGGAATCACCCACCCTCAGAAAACAGCGAGTTAGAGCAGTGATTTTATTCCACTAAGAACGGTACTTTCTTAATTGACCGATATTAAAACATTTAAAAAATGTCTAGCTTTGTGGAAAACGGGTTAGTCGGATGAACCGCTGGCTCTTAGACTAATATTTAAACACCTCCACCGCTAAAAATACGATACGGCGCAGCGACCATTTCGATTCCGGGCTGCTCTCACATGCAATGACGTCACAGCAGCGCAAAGTTTCGAATTTTTTTTAGGGGTCAAGAGGTTGCATTTTTTTTCCTTTTGCAGAGATTCATACAGTTAGACTAGTGGAATTTGTTTTATTGTTTAGATTTTTTCCTGTTTTTACACCGCTCTATTTTATCTTTGGTTTAACAATCAGTGTGGAAAGGAAACCTATTTCCAGTATTATTACTTGCTGCTCGACTGGTTGAGTTTTTAAGTATCTCAGAGCATGGTTTAAGGAAGATTATTGTAACATGTTCCCACCTTGATTAAGTTCAGCTCCTCAATGTTCTTTTTCATAGGCTTCAGTGATTCCCATTAAGTATGGATATCACGCCAACAGCTTTCTACAGTCATCACATATTAGTAGCAAAAGTCTCTTTTGTAGAGGCATACATTTTTTTTCTGATGCACAGTGAGGCTCATAGAGCTCTTATGTAAGGCTTCCAGACACGAATCACATTTATAAAATTGATCACCATCAATCTACTTTCCATATTTTAGGCAATTTTTCTCATTGCCATCCATAATGGTCACCATCAACATTATGCAATTTTATTTGCTAAGTTTTTTTTTTTGCTCCAGTGAGTCCTTCATTAGCTTTGAACGAGGGTTATTGATGGCCACCTCTATTTTTTTTTAAATTATAATTGTAGTATTTTCGATTTCATCAAATATTGTATTACGCAACATAAATCAGCATTATGAAAAACAAAGTAATGTTGGCACCCTGAATTACATGGATAAATACGGGCATTATATTTAATTTTTTATTTTTTTAATTACCTAGATGAAGCAATGATTTAGGTTTATATTGTATAATGTCTGGTTTTAGAACATGGACAATAGGGTACTTGCATGGAAAATTAAATTGATTATTGTTTATTGCAAACTGTAAGAAATCGAAAAAAAATAGTAACTTTTTTTTAATTTCACCCAAATATGATTATTCCGGAAGTTATACAAATATTAAGTTTTTTATATATAGATATACTGAGCATGTGCGACGTCACAACTCACAACGTATTATACCTAAGTTATGACGTCGGAAGGACATTTCGAAGCGTTGTATCTCCGTCAATTTTTGACTAACAAGAAAAAAAAAAAACACGTGTTGACTTATTTTTCATGGACTATCGAAATCTGAAATAAAAAAAATTGATGCAATTATTGTTTTCCCTCAATAAATTAATAAATAGATAAAGTAATTCAAGTTATGTTTTTTCCCATTGTCTAGGTTCACGACAACGATCAGGCGATATTGTGCGAGAGCGGCTGTAACTTCTGGTTCCACCGCGGCTGCACCGGATTGACGGAACACGCTTTCCAGTTACTCACCGCCGAAGTGTATGCCGAGTGGGTGTGTGATAAGTGTCTTGCCACCAAGAATATACCCCTCGTCAAGTTCAAACCTTAGTATCCCCTTTTCCATGTTAGGACGGTATAGGAGATAAATGATTCACTTGACGGCGAGTTAAGGTTCTAGTAATAGTGCATCGTAGGCTGGAGAAATTGCAAGAAGAGAGATTCAATGATCAATATATGAGGTGTTTTGAAAAATAAGCGCAAACAACAAATTTTACTTGCTATCGTTTTAAGTCTTGACCACACCTTAATAATAGCTGTTGATAAAAAAAATCATAATTTATCAATCAAGAATTCAGACTATCTTTATAAAATTCAGATTTTTGGTCATGCTGTAATGAATAATGGGTATGTGAGCAGTTGCATGCTCACTCAACATTCAATTTTAGAAAACAAAACTCTTAAACGTGGAATGTTAAATTAAATGCTGAATGGATTTTATAAGCCCACCATAAGTGGTTACCATGCTCATTGCCCATTGGCGATTGGATAAATGGGCATGAACTTCTAGCATCCTGTCATTGAACTAACCACTTCTGGTGTGAAGTTTGACTTAAGCTAAATTACATTGCAAAAATTAGACTGGTTGCATTTTCAAATAAACATTAAATATTTTAATGCCAAAATTAGAAGAAAAATCCTTGCTTGTAGGATCGTTTTGCTTGTTGCTACGAAATTAGTAATTGTAATTATGTATTATTATTGTAGAAACACATATTGTATATTTTTTCGAACATCTCTAGATTAACGCCGTCCGCATGGAGGCATGACTGCTTTAAGTTTAATATACCTATTTTAATTTTTGTAAAATAGAAGTACCTATTACCATAAGAATTTTAGCTAAATGAATAATTGTGTAAATAAATTAAATTAATAGATAACAATTTTATACATATTATACTTACTGGTTGACACAGAACGGAGTTCTAAACAGATTTAATATGTAAAATTTCGATGTACCTATCTATAGTTATGTTTGTATTGTGATAATTTCTGCATGGCAATAATTTTTTATAATCTAATGTTTGGCCAGTTTCACGAATTAATGTAATTTAATTTCATGCTGTCTGGCATATGATGTCATCAATTTCAGAGAGTTTGATTTAGCCGATACTTGATGGAAATCCATTACAAATTTTAAAGGAAACAAAAAATTTCTGAATTTCTACAATTGTATTTATTTGATTCCATAAAATCTTTCAGTACAGTACAAAGTTTTTTGTTTCCTTTGAAAAGTCATTTATTTCAGTCCGGAAAATGGCACATTACGTCACTGGTAAGGTAACATTGTCGAACAGAAGCTGAATTAGAACCAGGATCAGCTATTCCATGGACTGCTGGCAAATGACATCTTTCAAAAATGACGATCTATTAGCTAGGGGGCTGGCGTCAAAATTTCATGGGTCATTTCAGCATAATTTTTTTTCATTCTGTAAGATAGCTTTTATTTCGTAAATAAGTAACACTACTGTCAGCTGGCACACCCCCGTGGCGAAAGGGTAGTAAGAGACCCCGAAACTAGTAAAAAATAAAATAAAAAATCGGGTCTTTTTAGCAAAGCTGGAAATTGGGGGGCAAAACTTGACAGCTGCGCATGAGAACAGGCATGAATGTTGGAAAAAATCTACCTACAGTAGAAAAGTGACAATAGAGGTCCCGCCGCCATACTCTTGCTAATTTTCAATCAGAATCTAGAAACCCCACGCCCCCGCCGCCATATTCTTCCTCAAGATTCAAGATTCAATAAGCTTTATTGTCGAAAAAATACAAATTTTTTATAGACAAAGCACAATAAATTTAGCAGTACAAACAAAAAAACAAAAAAAAAATTGCCCAATTAAGGCCAACAATTTTCGTACAGGCTCAGAAACTAATAAACTCAACAAATATTACAACATTTGACATATACATAATTACCTAATTTCCATTAAAATCAATTTGTAAATATCCAAAAACAAACAAGTATCAAAAAAAAAAAAAATACAGATAGTTACACTCAATAAACAAAAAGTTACTGGGGGTTTAATAAAATCAAACAGCAAAAATTAGCCCTAAGTCATAAATAAAGTGGCTCATTAAGTTTTTAGCATGCTAGAAAGTGTCATCATAGTACTCAGCCAAATCATAGTAAGCCTTCTCTTTCAATAAATTCTTAACTGACCTACGAAACCCTCTATAGTTTTCAGAAGACCTACAATAATTTGGAAGTTTATTGTAAATCTTAATACTCTCGAAAATTACTGAGTGTCTGGTCAAAGCAAATCTAGGAATTGGGAGTGGAACATCGTTGCGATTTCGAGTACTGTAAGAATGAGCATGAGTGTGATCCCCATATTTTTTAAATATCAAACAAACCGTCTCCAATATAAATAAACAAACGACCGTCAAAATCTGCTCTCTCAAAAAGAGCGGTCTACAGTGGTCTCTCATACCTTTGCCGCACATACATATATCTTATAGCTCTTTTCTGTATTGTAAAAACCGAATTAAGTAGACCTCTACTGCAGTAGCCCCAAAACGAAATGCCGTATCTCAAGTGTGACTCGATAAGTGCATAGTAGGTAGATTTAGCAATACTGCAACCCAACTCTGAAAAAGTCCTTCGCACAGCATAACAGCCAGATGCCAGTCTCTTATTCAATGCAACAACATGTACATCAAACTTTAATCGGTCGTCCACGTAGAGCCCAAGAAACTTTGTACTTTGTACATTCCTAATTATCCCGTTCTCCAATTCAATATCATCAATATCGAATTTAAAGCTCAAAATTTTTGTTTTATCAATATTAAGGCAAAAATCATTGGCATCACACCAGTTCTTAATTCTAAGTATGTCCCTTATTACTACGTTTTTAAGAAGTGCCTGGTCCTTGCTATGCCATTTCACTGTAGAGTCATCTGCAAAATTCAAAAGTGAGCCATCTATCCTTACGTTTGCTAGGTCGTTGATGTACAACAAGAATAAAAGAGGGCACGGAGCCCTGCGGTACCCCACATGATAGTGTTTTTAAATCTGATGTTGTCTGACCATTTCTAACCACTTGGCTTCTTCCCACTACATATGAATTAAGAAAACTAGAGATTTTATCTCTGAAACCATAAATTTTAAGCTTTTCTAGAAGGATGTTTTGATTGACACAGTCAAACGCCTTTGAAAAATCGCAAAAGACCGCCGTTGCATATTCCTTATCATTCAAGTCAAAGTACAAACTCTCCAGGAGGGAAAATATCGCATCATTCGTACTCAATGATTCTCGAAAGCCGAACTGAGAGGCACTGATGATGTTATGCGTCTCAACAAAAAGCAGCATCTGCAATATGAATATATAAAATTTTAGAAAACCATTCACTATGGTATATTGAGTCACTGTAGTTCGTCTTGGCTCAAGCCACAGAACACACCATTACCCCCCACCCACTTGTTTCGCACTAGCCAGTCACCAGTTTATTCTATACGTTATTCACACGTTATTCTTGAATAGTAAGAACGTACGAAAATGTCGAAACCTCTCTGTGTCATTTGTTTAAAAGGTTCAGGGTTGGGATTCTGTAACGACTAACGAATGGCGATATTTTCGCTATCTCTATTGAAGTCCCCTCTCTATTGATTTCGAAAAGAGAGAAGAAGACAGCAAGTGCCATAGCGATATCGATAACGATCTCTATCCATTACAGAATTCCGCCTCAGGAACGCTTTCGCCATTCACAGACATTTCTTTAAATAAGTGCAAAGGTGTTTTGGTAGTTCTTCAGAAACATGCTTTAATTCTCAAAGATGTTGATTTATCAGAAACGATACAAAACCATGTGTGATCTATTATAAATGTCAACCCCTTTTAACTTTTTCATTTGACATTTTTGACAAAAGTGTCAAATACAAAAGTTTCAAGAAATTATCGAAAGTTTTTAACTAAATCAGTTTCAGGCATACAGGATGCGTCAAAAAAGTGCAGCAGTGCGAAATTATATGTTTTCAAATCGAACACGCTGTATATTGTGCGCCCTTTTGTTAGTCCCTTTCAACCTGATTTCAACGATATACTGTTTGATATGTCTATCTTTAATAGTTATAGGGAAAAACATGAAAATCCCTTTCAAGGCTTCTTATTGAAAAAGAAAAATTATACCATTTAAGCTTTAGAGAATAGAAAACATAGTTGTCACGTACGCTCACTATAAAAAAATGAGGCGTTTAATAACTGTTAACAAATAACAATTATGAAACGCCTCATTTTTTTGTAGTGCGTGTGCGTGACAACTATGTTTTCTATGAACTTAAATTCTCCACATTTTTTTAACCGGTGTTCTTAACTTGGGCGGACAGTAGGAAGGGATTTTCGCGTTTTTCCCTATTACTATTGGAGATAAACCGGAGATAAATATATCCAACCGTATATGGTTGAAATCAGGTTGAAAGGGACTAACATAAGCATACAATAAATAGGGTGTTGCTGCACTTTTTTGACGCACCCTGTATGCGTAAAAATGACTTAGTCAAAAACTTTTGACAATTTTTGAGACTTCTGTCAAAAACGTCAAATGAAAAAGTTACCAGGGGGTGACATTTATAATGGATCACCCTGTACCATCGTGTGTGCTATCAACCTTTCACAGCTTTGCCGCCAAAATATAGAGTGTCGGTCAGCTTGCCAAGGTACCTACTTAGTTATACTTACTTATTAACGTTATAAGGTCGGTAAATATCAAATAACGGCCAGGCTGAAGTTTGTGTTAGCTCAAGACTGTTATTTGAAGTTACCGGCCGTGTTTTGTTCTAGATTTTTCGTCACACTGCAGAGTTTAGGAATTTTTCAATCTGACAAAAAATAACACACCCCTATAATGTTTATTTATATTGTCGCGGCTTTGGGTTGCCTGCTGACAAAAATCTTGGGTTCGTTGTTCGTTTCGTTTATTCCAAAAGTCCAATTAACACAGCAATAATTTATTCCACTTAATAAAACACTCTGACACTAATTACTTTATTAACAAACTCAACAATCAAACTCTTTACAATCACTATTTAAATCGTATCACAGTCGAACTGAAACT